GATAGTGATCAATATAGCATACAGTTTTTTTTTTTCATCTTCCAGATTAAATAAAGAGAGTAGCATTGGATGCAAGTATCACTGGAGCAGACAACTTTGGTTTAATGTATCTTTTCCTTCAGAAAGAATTCAAGCCTCAGCTGCTCTAATATTTAACTGAAGCAGGTCCCCATTTGCTTATCTGTTTAATTGCTCCTTTATCTAGGTCAGCTGCTGCTCCTGCTGCTGTCATAGCCAGCTCTAATAGAAAGGAATTTGCCTTGGTATACAAAAACTTAAACCTGGGATATTGTTACCTAGAGCCTATACCACAAATTGGCATCTGAAACAGGCTCTTTTATAAATAGCATTGCATATTTTAAGATGAGGTGTAACTTGTAGAGTAAAACGTTAGTTCAGCCTTCTACCATCAGACATTTTTATCTTGTTAATTGAACATAAACTGAGCCTTGATCTCTGATTTCATTACCAAGAGGTGACTTTGCTTCTGTGTAAGGGAGTTTAAACCTTTTGTATAAATGAGTCATTTTTTTTTATTCATCAAGACAATTTTATATGCAAGAATAGTTATTTTACTTTTCACTTGACAGTTGGGGTCAGCTTAGTGATATATTAATAATTGTTAAAAATAAAGAATTGGAAACTGTTGTGTGATTAAATTCAAGTTGAAATCAAAGCTTTCCCCCCATGAATTATATATAGCTTGTGGCTTTCTGTTCTTTCCCAAAACACCATTGTAGATCAGAGCAGTGAGTATAGCATTCACGTACCATCTTCCTAACGTTGTTCAATCCTGTCGTATGTTTCATAGCAATAGCATGTTAGCCATGAAGGCTAGGTATCTTCCATTATAAAACCGGTAATTGCTTTTTTGTGGCCCTTCTTATGACAACCAATCTTACTGGGCATTAGTTTGTTTAGTCTTAAATAGAACTTCAGATAAAAGACAAAACAAATTGTGTAATAAGGTATGAATTGAGAGCCACCTCTATTGGAAAAAACAAACATAGCAGGACTGAATTTGGTATTTAAACAAGCATATTACGGAATGTGAATCCAAAACTTCAGCGAAAATCATTTATCATCCCCAAATATGCCCACTGAGCTCTGCTGGCTTTGGAGATGGAATTCAGCAAAGGCTCCAAGCACCGTAGTTACAACCACTTCTTAGAATTATATTAAACCAGTTGAGACACGATAAAAGAATGCAAGGCTTATACCCCTTGAGGGTCTGTAAGTCACCATCTAGAAAGGTTCCTGAAAGGGTAAGAACATTTTATAGTTTGATCAATAGGAGCCTGAGAAGTAGGCTGCAGGATAAGGACAAGTTGGGGATTAAAAACTTTTAGAAACTTGAAGAATTGCATAACTATCCTGAGAAAGTTCCCACGAGAAAGTAAAAGAGGTAAAAAGAAAAAGAGATTTTTCTTCATCTCTCAACCATCCTTCTAGGTCAGACTTCAGCCAGTACTTGAAGATAACCAGCCCTTATTATCCAAGACATAATTGCTGTCCCATCCACACACAGAATTTTCTACCAATACAACCTCCTGCCACAATAGATTTGGATTCATACCAAGAGATAGTAAAGAATAAGACTGAAGGCTTCACAATGAGCTCAGCTTTCCCATAGAACCCTTCTTGGGGAAGTTGATCCGTTTTTCCAACAGGAAGAACTTTCATTTTGAAATATACCTGAACTAGTACAGTGGTTGGCTTTGTCTCTCATGTTACCATTGCATTACTATAAGTTAATGATCTGTTGAAGTAATGTTTATGTGACCTAAGATTATGTCTATAAAGGAGTCAGTCCAGTTTAATGTTATTGTAACTGTCAAAAAAAAAAAAAAAGTATGGGCAAAGGATCCTGGCTAAGAATAGATTATAAAACAGAAAATTACTATACGGTATGACCACATAAGAACTCAGATTTTAAGAATGTATATTTGTGTTTTATCAAAAAGAGCCAGTTCAGAGTACTGGCTACTCTGTGAAGAGTCTATGGAAGTAAGGAGCCCACGTCCCTAGTGGCCATGAGGATGGGGCGTAGACATCGAAGGAGAAGGGTCAGCACTGTGTCACTGCTGTTACCTTGGAGCTGGAGAACTCATCCAGCTCTGAATCCCTTCCTGTTTTCTTAGCTGGTTTACACTGAGAAGCTTTGTATAAAGTGATTCTTAGTGCCTCAGCTCAGAGTGGTGAGGAAAACTGATTATCTTGACATTACCCTAAAGCAAGCAAGCAAGCAAGCAAGTGAGCAAGCAAGCAAGCAGGAGATGGTGAGAAGAGGAGGAAATGAAGGAGGGAGAGCACATTGAGTAGACTGAGTCAGCCTAGTCTTAGTTGTTTTTCTCTGGTATTAGTCTGATCTGAGCCACCCCAGACCTTTATGCTTTCCCGAGTTCTGTGGTTGCTAACACTCAGGCCAAGAAATGACTGTCTTGTTTGTAGCCAGCCCTACATCATGAGAGGGGAAGGGCTTGGGAAGGAGGGCCTTCTGTTCCTCACATGAGGAAGAGGTGCAGTTGTGCCCATAGTAAGGTAGAAACTTTAATCCCATTGCTTCCTTTGCCCAAGCAGCACCCAAAGAGCCCTCCTGAAGCTGAGTGATGAACACTGCCACAGGGCAGGTGTCAGTTTTACTCAACAAATAATACATTTGAAAAAGGTTGTAAAAGACCTGCTTCACAAGGATCAAAACACTCCCATGCAAAGAAACAGAAAAGAGGGATGTTTTGAAATTAAAATTAAGGTGCATATTAAGCAATGAACTCCAAATGTGAAAGATGTGAGAAGCCTCCATGTCCGGATCTCTGGGCAGTGCCCGAGTTTTACTTATAATGGGAAGCTTAGGCTCTATTCCTGTGGTTTATGATTGGTACTTTTGGCTGTTCATCTAACCAGTGGAAGAAGGTGGTAGTTTAGGGCATCCTGGAACATACAGGATTTTCTGGGTACACCAGTGAAGTGGGGACTCCAGGTGTACTTCTAAGGAGACAAGCTTAGGGGCTGGGGAGATGGTTCAGCGGGTCAAAAGCTTGCTGGGCAGGTATGACCATCTGAGTTTAGAACAGCTCTGAACCCACATCAAGGCCAAATGTGGTGGAGTACCACCGTAACCCCAGCACAGAGAGATGGAGACGAGTGGATCCTGGGAGCTTGCTAGCTAGTCAGCCTGCCTATCTGCAGTGGCAAGCTCTAGGTTCAGTGAGAGGCCCTGGATCCAAGAGTAGAGTGGAGAAGCAATGAAGGAAGACGTCAGGTATCAAACTCTGTTTTTTTACCACACACAGGTAAGTTTATCCACATGGATATACCACCACATGGATATACCACCACTATGGGCAACACACACACACACACACACACACACACACACACACACACACACACACACACACACACACACTGTAAAAACATGGGTAAAACCAAACCATACCAAACCAAACAAAGCACCAGAAAACAAAGCACCCAAGTTCAATTAACCAACATTCTGAGTCTGGCTAAAATATAACTCTCACAGCCTCCCTTCCCAGTTGGCTCTCTTAGGTCTTAAATATTCTGTCTCCTGAAGCGTGTTTCTATAGGGGAGAAATAGAAGTGAGCTAGCCTTTCTGTCCAGGAATACTCCTTTATAAAGGCTGATTTCAGGCCTGCCAAAGATACCTTCAGAGGAGGCAGTCAGTCATCTGTGAAGCTAGGGTGATGGGGTTTGAAATTGACAAAGGGGGGCAGACTGAGCTTTTCTCCTCTAGAAGGTGACTTTCTGCTCATGGAGCTTCCATTGCCATTAATCTGGAGTTGTCCTTTAAAATGGAAAAAAAAAAAAAAAAGAAAAAAGTGAAAGCCCACAAAGGGACCTCCTGTTCCTTGCCCCAGGCAGTGTTCTTGTGTAAGCAGACCGCTCCAGTAGGGCAGGTGTCCTGGTGGGAGCTGTCTCTGTGAACTCTGGCCCTGTGGTTTCTCCCAGCCTTTTAAGGAACTATCCCACACTGCTCCTATCTAGGCCTGCCTTTGCTTGTCTTCTTTGGTTGCATCTGTTTTTCTCCCCCTCAGGTCCTTTCTTAGAGATTATTTTGGATGGGAATAGTGCAGGCATGGACTCTCAGTGGTGAGGGATTTTTACTCTGTCTGGAGACGTTCTAACGTGTTTAGATGCTGCTAGATGTGGGGAAAGGAAGTAGAAAGGCACTCATCAGTTTTCCATCTGCAGTGTGTGCTCATACGTATTCTGCTGTCCTTTGGCCGCTCAACCAGGTTACTCATCTGAAGGTCTCAAGACTCTGCAAGTGTGAATTAGTTTTAGGAACCAAACTATAGGGAAAAAAAAGAAGATACTGTGTCTGTTCATAAATATCTGAAGTAAAAATGAAACAGTGTTGGAACTGAATTCTGACTGAGGTGTTTTTTTTAAAAAAAATTTCTATCTGTAAGCCAAAGTATAGTCTATCTAAAATAAAAAGTATGATTACCAGCTAATGGAAATTTTCTCATGTGGAATGCTATGCTGTGCTAAGTTTGCGGTTGCAGGAACTAGTTCACACAATACCACTTAACAGTGTGTTTAGAGGTTAAAATCAGATGTGTTGAAAGAAAGACTTGCAACTCAGGATCATGCATATATACATATATATACATACATATATGTATATATATATATGTATATATATATATATGTATATATATATTTAGTGCAAGTCCTTGTTTTAAAGGAGTTTTATGAGGCCAGATTGACGTTGCTTAATAAACAGTTGAAAAAGTTAAGCGTAAGCCACAAGTCATTTAGAAGTATGAGTCACTCTCCTGACAAGCCAATAAGGTAAGAGAACCCGGGTTGCAAAACAATTACTAGCCCAGCCCGAGGGACCCTGGAAATGTATTACAGGTATCAGTTAAGAAAACAAAGCGGTAGTGTTTGGCCACTCTGCGGAGGACAGGCTAAGGCTGCTCACCAAACCCAACGACTGCACTGACCATGCCAATTTTTACATTTGTTTCAGAACAAGGGCCATTCAAACCACCAGAGGTAAGACTGACATTTAAACTTTTTATGGAAGCGTTGCATTTCAAGGTGTTTGCTACCACTTAAACAGGCTCGGGCTCTTACGGTGTTAAATGTGCCTTTTCTGATGGATAGAGCGAAACAGAAATGGAGGGAGCTGCCGGGTGCTTGTCAAAACATGAATGGAATCGGGCATTTTCACAGTTGTGGTCTGGAAGCCTTGGGTTGAGGAGAAAAGTGGATATTTTAGTCTAATACTGAATGAAGTAGGGGCTCTGTGTGATGGGAAGGGTGGCCCTTCTCTTGGAACAATGGCAGACCTATCTCCTGCCGTGAACTGTTGCTTCACAGCCCAGTAATCTGTGAGAATTCTGCCGTAGTTCCAAGAATATAGGTTCAGATTTCTAGTAGCTTCCCCTTCCCCACAAACTTGGTCAGTATTGTGCCCCACTCATCAAATCAAGCTCTGATAACATCTCCTTTTGGTTTAGCATAGCCTGACTCCCAGTGCCTTAACAGTATGTAGTTCTTGAGTATGGCTCTCAGAATAAAGTAACTTCAAAAAACGGAAAAGAATGTAAAATATGACAGATTCCACACCACCATCATTTTGGCTGTCAATCAAAAGTAACACAAATTTTACCTGACTCTGCAAAAATACCACAGCAAACATTTAAGCTAAAAAATTAGCAGAGGGAATTAAATATAAAATGGATGTGAAGTGAGTAGAAAATAAGGTTACCTGAGAATTTCAGAATGAAAGAATGGCAGTCTGTTTACTGAACTGATTAGAACATTTATCTGTCTTTGAAAATATCTCCAGTTTCAGCACCAAAAAGTATAGTAAACTAAAATGTCTCCAGGCCAATAATGCAGCTACATTATTGGTATGTTTTTATCAGCTAGTATTTACATAGTTGATGAAAATAGGAACAGCGCAGGGAAATGCCTTCAGAGGTCTCTGTCTCTCTCCTTTAGTGCATGTGCGTAACTTCTGCATGCAGTGTGTCACTTCTGCATGCAGTGTGTCAAGGGTGAGGAATGAGGAACCTGATGAGAGATGTAGCTGCTCAGTGTGCTAGTTCGGGGGGGGGGGGGGGTCTTGGGAGCTAGATTTTAGACCAAGGAATGTATAATAAGGCAACCATATTTTCTGAAAATAATAGAGCATAATGGCTTACTGCAGGCTAATGCCAGTTACCCTAAATATCTGTTACTGTTTCTTAGGCAGGGAGGGAAGTTTTTGTATCAGGGCTGTCAGGATCCTTCCTGGAGTGCATGATCTTGCTAAGCATGCTGGTCTTAGATTGTTGAGAAGGATGCCATAGGGAGGCTCAAGCTTCAACTCAAAGGTAGTTCACATTCATCCTGCTAGACGTGTGTATTCTTTTTTCCTAAGAAAATGATTTCAAGGAAGTAATGTGAAGTGGGTGTATTTGCAGATGGAAAGTGTGCTAATAAGAAGTGGTTAATCATTCTAACATGATATTAAATAATTCTCTCAGACACATTTATACCCTTAAAATTACATGTGAGCCTATTAATAAAAAGGAATTAATTTTCATGTTGAAAATTTAAAAATGTAGCGTCGGTGTTGTAGTGATTGTCTTAGCTTTTGAATGTAATAAGTGCAATTTTCATTTAATGTGTAACTTCACTAATAACCTCCACTTTGTCTGGATAGAAGATTACAGTATATTCTGAGGCTAGCCAAGTCACTTGGAAACTGCTTCATTTTAGGAAGAGTTATAGCAAAGAATATAATATGAATAATGTGGTTTTATTTTGTTTCCTTTTTTTTTCAAACCTCCTGCCTCTCCTGTACTGGCTTAGCATTCTCTTTCCCCTTTAGTGCCAATGGGTGTATGATTATAAGGTTTTGTTTTAAAATTTCAGCTTCATTCTCAAGGCAGGCCAGTTTTTTCCATAGCCACAGGATCCTTAGGCTTGCGTAGCTGTCTGGGGGTGTTCACCTCACATGTCATCTAGGTCTTCATGGCTCCTTCTGACTACACAAAGCAAGTTTATTCTTCTATGTCTACTCAGCCACTTTCCACCTATTCCCTGTTGTTGAAAAATTAAAGCTAACGTCCATAAATGAAGGGAGCTTTCCCTTGTGTGGTTGGTGAAAATCCACAGAGAGAATTATTTTCCCCCTAAGATGCAAGAAAACCAGGAGAGTTTTAGATAATAAAAGTATTAAAAAATAAAAAAAGACAAGACAGTGAAACAAGACATAATTAACTTCTTATAGTTATAAAATTAGGTTTGCCTCCTCAACCCCTCTGGGTAGATCAAAGGAGAATCAGACTCCAGAGTCATGACTTTCATGTCCCTGGGCCTGTGACTTGAGAGCTCTCAGAAGAGGCAACCATTTATGTCCCTTGTTTCCCATCTTCTACCTGCAGACCAGGTCTCCCCAGCCCTGTCCGGGCTTTTGAGAAAATAGGTGCAAGGGGACTGTATATTAGAGTCAGGGACATTAAATTATGCATTTCAAAAAAAATTTTTAAATATATATATATTTATCTTTTTATGATAGAAAATGTTTTTGAGGTGCTTTTACGTATAGTTAATCATATTTTTTTTCCGAATGCACTTTGTCTAAATAGTTGAGGTTTCCTTTGGTGTGCAGAATTTCTTTAATACATAGTTTGTTTTGCTGCCTGCTTCTCCCACAGGAGAGTTTCTGTTTGAGGGTGAGTGACTTAAATGACTTTCCAGAAGGAAGAACATAAAGCAGTCAGTAGGGCAATTGGGAGGTAGGCATGCATGCCTGCAGTCGGTCATGCATGCCTGTAGTCTCAGCTCTGGGGAGGATGAGGCAAGAAGATCTCTTGCATGTTTGGTTCAAGGTCAGCTTCAGGAGCAGAGTCTTGGGTTCAAAACCACAACAAAATATACAAGCTATAGTTTCCCAGAATATATTAAGTTTATATCCTATATAAACGTAATGACGATAGGAACACTAAGGAATCACTTAATGATTCCAAAAGCTTAAAACAAATGGACTATCACCACCATCTCAATCAAGTAAACATTAGTATAGTTTTTCCTGGAAGATGGGAAAACCCAGCAGAGCTGTTTTTGATTTTGAACTTAATCTCCTTTTCTATATGATTATTAACCACATTGTGTCACCTACTTTAATCTTAAACTCAAGGCAAAACAGGCAAAGAGTTTCTGTTGTCAGTTGGGAAGGTGATGGTGATGGTGGGAAGCATGGACTGGCAGGCTGGACCTCACTGTTTATTTTCCTGTTGAATCTATCATGAGTTGTATTGCTTGGGGCCCTTTCTGTAGAAAGCTCAAAATTTTTAAATAAAAATTTAAGTAAAAAAGAGTTTGTCTTTGACATCAGTTTTCTTCCATATTTTCAGAAAGGGATTTGTAGCCCTTGGGCCTTCCCTTTTTATATCTTGGCCACCAAGTAGCCCAGGGCACCAATTTCTCTCACAGTGGTGCCTTATAATGGTTTTCCTAGCATAGACACTCTGCTTGCTCAACAAAGAGTCCATGCAGAGTTTAATGATCCTATTAGTCTTTTACAAATACATTTTGAAAGTAGTTGGAGTGAAAACAAAAATTACCTGCTTAAAGTTTATTTTATTTGCTTTACCTAAGAACCTTAGAATCTTCAGGATATGGCTTTGAGCCCTGGAGAAGGTTAAAAGACCCCATTTCAACATTTCAGTGATTTGACTTATGAATGAAATCAACCTGAGAAGCCACCCTGAGAAAAATCCACGGCTATGTGTGTTTCTCAAAGTGAGGGATCCTCTGACTGTACACACAATGGCAAATTTCAACACACATAAAAAGCAAATTCCTCTCATGAAAGTCTCCTTGATATAGTGGTCCTCCATGAAGCCACGTCTGCTGTGTAACAAAAATTAAAACAAATCAATCCTTCATTAGCAAGATTACTGCATTAATTATAGCGAAGAACTCAATGCTTGTGAAATCAAATGGTAACCATGCATTTTCAGATTTAAAAATCCCTTATCTGGCTTTCATAGCGTGCAGTTTTCCTTAGGAATTCCTTTTCTGTAATAATTGATTTTGTGCTTTAGCTAGCTGCATGTATTTTGTTTTTTAAAAAGATATCAAGATACAATTCCTCTGTAGTTAAAACACATTATTATTTAAGCATTTTCTGGAGCCAGGGCTTTGGGCCTTTGGTTTGAGACTGTGCCTTCTTCAATCACTGGTCTGTCAAGGCCCAGAAATAAATACTTGAGTTAGAATTTTTACAGATCTGCTTAAGACTGTGTTATTCATATTTCTTTGCTGGGAATATTTTCTAATCAAAAATGGTTCTATGGGATTAGTTTTCCTAGTTTCTGTAATCATAGGATTTTAAGAAATATTGGGTCAGAATATATATATTAGGCAAATAAAAGTATTTCTGTTTGTGTCAATGGTTTATAAAATGTAATGATATTCTAATGGAAAACTTATCGGGGGAATTATATTAAATTATAAATACAAACATTAAAATCACATTTTTGTCCCATTTAGTCATGTTTTTAATTGGAACTAAGGCAACATCGATTGCCAGAGCATCAGTGTTATGATTTTATGCCATATTACCAATGTGTCATTGTGTTATTTTGTTTTATTTTTCCACACAGAAACGGACGAATGGACTCCGGCGAGCTCCCAGACAGGTGGACCCAGGTGTGTTTCTCATTATATATTCTATGATAACTCCAGTTAAGTGATTATGAAAGTATATGGGAATTGCTGTGAGAAGTTGGCTGCATGGCTGGCCTTTGTTCCCATAGTTCAGTCTATACCTTGTGACCAGGAGGTGAAGGTCTAAAGTGCAAATCATTCCCGGGTGACTAACCCCCAGTCTGTGCACTTTCCACAGTCAGCAGGTGAGCTGGTTATTTGCTTACTGAACAGCCTCAGGGTGCCTGCATAATGCTAACATACCCAGCACCCTCCCCATTTTCCTCCTAAATCAGGTAAGAATACCAACTAGCTTACTGCCACTTAAAAACAGTGTGTTCCAAGAGGGTAAGGGAGAGCACATGACTGCTCCTTTCCCCATTTGGGGAAGTTTTCTTATTCTTCATCTGTATGATTTTATATCAGGAATATGGTTGTCAGGACACCATGAACATGTGTCCTCTGGAGACCAGTGATTCGGCTGCAGAAAACGGTAGTTTTCCCTAACATTGTGGTTTGCCCCTATCATTATCTTAATATAATCATTTTTTTTTATCCATTAAGAAATGCCTTCTGCAGTTTAATCACTGAACATTTTGTTCTGTTCATGATCCCATCCTTGGAGGTATAAAAGGTATTCACAGATACAGCATCCACATATGTGAATTTGATGCAAGTCCATCAAGTAGCCTTTCTGGGAAATAGTCTGGATTTCTGTTTGGCGTTGTGTTCTCATCATTGGCGCTGTTCATCTAGTTGTAAAGAGGCTTTTTCAAAGCATAACATCTTTTAACTGAAACCACACCCAGGCTGGCCCTGCCGGTTTATGAGATGATAGAGATTATGGAAGCCCTGTTGCCTCTGGCTAGAAATTGCCTCATTTACGTCTTGAGATCAGTTTAACTCTTTTAACTACAGAACAAAATTGATGCCATTAAAAACATAGGGTTCCATTTTCCTTTTTAATAGTTCTGACTTTCCCAAGCCAAGATCCTTTGCGGGGGTCTGTGTGATGACATTTAGAAGAGATATCATTTGTTGTATTTAGTAGGACTACTGTATGGTTGTGTGATGTGTTTTTTGTTTGCTTGTTTGTTTTGACTGAGCTGTATTTCTATTTCAGAAAATAATCTGGCTTTTAAAAGTGTTATTTTGAAATTTCTTTTTCACCTCTGTGCATTTTTATTTAGACTATTTCCTCCTAGAGAAATGCATTTATTTATAGTGTCAGAAGATGCACATTTAACTCTTCACAATTTACTTCACAACCAGTTTTCTACAATCTTTTAAAGGAAAATATAGTGACTTTTCAGATTATAAATTCAACCAAGTAGATCAGTAACAAAATAAATTCATACCACTTTATCCTAAAGTACTGTATGAATTTACAAATATACAAGAAGTACTTCTGTACATTTTGGAATATTTTCCTGTAGATAAGATGTGTGTATGTGAGTATATTTCTCATTCTTCACATTTCTGCGAAGAAGCAGATAGCTAGCTGATGATCTTGTGGTTGAAGCTGCAGTGAGGTTCTCCATGTTCCTCGCCTGAGCCACTCCTGGATTTAGGCCTGAGCTCCTTGTCTGGCTTGGTTGCTTTTGCATCTCTGCCTCCTTCTGTTAACCTGCAACGCTTCTGTGCTCAGAATGAACCCTTGTTTGCAACTGTCTTGTGATCAACTGATGTAACTGTCATTTAGCAGACTTTCACAGTTCTTGGGAGATGCGTATCCAAGACGTTTAAAGAGATATCCATGCAACTGAGGCAGAATGAACAGAGAACTTCCTAGGAGCATTGTCTGCCATTTGTGTTTTACTGTCGAGGATCCTTTGACCATCCTATCCTCATTTCTAACTAATATAATTGACTTTTCTAAGTCCTAATATCCTGATTGCTTTCTAGAATCCCATAAAGGGTGGATTGTGGAAAAATAAACTGTTTGAGGGGATCAAGTGTACTTACTTCATTGGGTTCAGATTTCAGAATCATGTGCAAAACTAAATCACACATGGGCCTTTTGTGCTGGAAAAGGACAGAAGATTTAATTAACTTTGTTACACAAGTTAGTGAGTGACTACGTATTTTTTCCTTAGGTTTTGACTCTTGCTTTTTATTTTCATTTATTTTTTAATCATTTTGGATAAAATATAATGATACCACTTTCCTCCCATCCCTTTCCTCCTTCCAACCTCTCCCAAGTCTCCCTGCTTCAATTCCTTCCACACTCCCCCTAAATGACAGCCTCTTCTTGCCAATTATTATTATTACACTATTGTAACAATTATTATTATTAAACCTGGGTCTGTTTATGTTCTTTGTGTGCATATGGTTTCAGGGCCGATCACTTTGTATTGGACAACCAGTTAAGGGGCTCATCCCTGGGAGAGGCTAACTCTCCCTCTCTCAACAGTCATGTTACCTATAGTTCCTTATCAAGGAGTGTGATCCCGTAAGTTCTCCCTACTTCCTAGTTAGTGTGTCTATTGATATTGCCACTGTTTAGGTCTTGATTATGCAGCCATTTCTATGGGAGACTGATTCACCACAAACATCATGGCGTAATGGCTACTGTGATCTCTGTGCCCCATCTTTTATGTTGGTTTCTGAGCTATGGAGGCAAGAGCTGAGACATAGACGTATCCATTGGGACTGGACTCTCCGTGATCCATCGATGTCTTCATTGTGTCCAGTTGTGGTTTTATGTGATGGTCTCCACTTGCTGCAAAAAAAAAAAAAAAGTTTCTTTGATGAGAGGTGGTAGCTACACTTAACTGTGGGTGTGAGGATAAGACTTAGAATGTAGTTGAAAATTATTCTGGTCTAGCAAAGTGACTGCAGTAGATTCTGTTCTAAGATCCATGACCTCGCCAGCCTTAGGAAGTCAGCTAAGTTTCTCGTACCAGGCACGGCTCCCTCCTGTTAGTGGGCCATAATTCCCATTAGACAGCAGTTGATTACCACCGACATATGAGTGACACTTATTCCACCTTTATGGATATCTTGCCATGCTGGTTACTGTTGTGGTTTCATAGGTGTTACAGCTGGGTAGGACTATTAGTTGCTTCTCTCCCTTGGTAGCTTCCAAGTATTTTCTGGTAGCATGGAAGCTAGGCCACAGGAAGGAGGTTTTCAAGTTATATCCAGCTCAAATAATCTAGGTCCTGTGTTCTTAGTGTGCAGCGTTTTCAGCAATAGGGGCTTACCTTCAAGTCCTGTGAGGCAACCAAGGACAACAGCCATGGTTTGGGGACTCAAGCTGACTACCCTGACTAACCATTCTAAAGGAGGTTTCTCGTGCCTGGTACTGGGTTTTTTTAATCTACGATGCTTGTGGGGAATATTATTAATCCTAGTGTCATAACTTCCTTTAAGGTGAGTGTGTGTGTGTGTGTGTATACACTTATATGTATTGTATATGATTTTAGGTAAGGGTGTTTAATTCAAACCCTTGAGGCTTTATCAAACAAGCTTGGTGACGCTGTCCCTTTTCCCTCTTTCTCCTTCTGTATTGACCTCCCTCCCACTTTCCCATTTGGAACCCCTCCCTCCATTTCCCTTTTTCCCCACTTCATATTGCCTGTATCGTGCTATTCACTTACTGTTTGAATTCTACCTGGTGACATAGTAACAAGCCGTGTCGTGGCCTGGTGTTGGGAAGTGTGCCTCTGAAACCTGTTCGAACTGGAGGCTGGACTTAGCTCTTTGCATGCTGCTTCCCCTCTTCAGTTTGCTTCCCCTCTTGAGCTGTGATGTTCATATTTATGAAAGAAGATTTGTAAGAATACCTGCCTCACAGGTGTTGTGAGTATGATGTGAAGACTTTTGAAAGTGCTTAGTAAACGGTAAATACTCGTTGGTAGCAATAATTATATTGATTAATTTGTCCTACAGCAAGTGATTTAATATTGAACACTTGAAGTGGAGAATCAATATTTGCAAGTTACATCTTTGAAAACAGATGCAATTTTATATTGAATTTATATTGAATCAAGAAGTTGCAGCCTGCTGTGGTGGTGCACTTCTTTAATCCCAGAACTAGGGAGGCAAGGGCAGCTTGATCTCTGTGAGTTGGAGGCCAACTTGGTCTACAGAGTGAGTACTAAGTCATCCAGAGCTACATAGTGAGACACTCTTTGGAAAAAGTAAACAAACAGACAAAAAGTTGTATAATCATAGTAATTTTAATATTTCCCTTTGTTTCCGGTTTGCTGAACAGCTTTTACAATCTTTTGATTATCTTTACTAAAAGAGGCAACAAAGAGGGATGGTTGCGAGTGATTTATTTTGGGTATAATTGTTATAACTTTTTGTTTCAATTAAGGCAATGAAAACTCTAGTTGAAATTAGTGTGTGTTTGCGCGTGCACGTGCGTGTGCGTGTGTGTGTGTGTGTGTGTGTGTATTTCTATCACAACCCCCAAAACATGAGAGCTACATGTTTGTGTTGTGGCTTGTCTGGACACTTAGAACATTCTACTATAATTGTACCTAATCTTTATACACCATGTTCGCGATAGTTTCATTCTTTTTCCTGGTTCTGTACTGGGCTAAGAAATTTTTTTTTTATCGATTTTTAATCCTAACTGCTTTACAGATGTAATAATATGTCAGATGTGAATTCTGGTAGCTCTTTTGAGTCACTTACTTACAATGTGTTTTCGTCAGTTTGTACCTCTCTGCCTGACACAGATGTTGGTATCAAGACAACAACACTTGTACCAGACAGATCAATTATTTCAGGAACATGGAGGTGCTGGGCCTTTTTTCAAGAACATGAGATTGTAAGTCTCAAGTAAATTCTAAGCACTGTTGTAATATTTTTCACCTCAAGTGGCACTCAAGGTCAAAGTTACCAATTAAATTTTAATACTTAGATTCAAAAATTTCCTTCTATCTTAGTAATGCAGATTTAAGATTGATTTTTGTTTACATGCAGTGTATCTGTGTGCCATAGCATGTGGTCTTTCAGTGAGTTCATATTTTTAGACTTTTGTAAAATTGCCATACATTCATGGAACTCATAACCTCCTGTATGTGAGTCCACAGTCATTAACTTAAAAAAAATCAGGTTTGCCGGGCGGTGGTGGCGCACGCCTTTAATCCCAGCACTCGGGAGGCAGAGCCAGGCGGATCTCTGTGAGTTCGAGGCCAGCCTGGACTACCAAGTGAGTTCCAGGAAAGGCGCAAAGCTACACAGAGAAACCCTGTCTCGAAAAACCAAAAAAAAAAAAAAATCAGGTTTTTGTTCTTTGTTGTGCTGTCAAAAGATTAGATGGAGAGGATGGGAAATGTTTTGGTAGCTTTCTCTCCTCTGAGCTTAAGCTGCTTATGTGCACTTTTATAAACGTCTCTAATAAATGATCAGATAATGGCTAAATGGATGAATCTTTTCAGAGAGCAAAGGCTCATTGTTGCCTTCGCGATTATAGAAACAATACCTATGACTTGGAAAGGCTGTGTTCTTATACCCTTAGGAGGAGTCTTAACCATTTCTTAGCAGATGCATCTTCAGTGATGTTCATGATCTCCTCCAGATGAGCAGGACTGATATTCACATTCTTCCTGTCTTTATGTGAAGAAAGGATTAAAGTAACTTGTCATCATCAACCTCATGCCTTCTGTGAAATTAAACATAGCCAAGTTGTGAATTATAAAAACAACATGGTCCTTCTCCATAATATTTATATTCTATGTAGGAAAGAAATAGATAAAAACACCAGGTTTCAGTTGCATAAATGCATATGTATATACATTAGTTGTAAGGAAATTTAACATTGTGTAGTATTCTGCATATAGATCCTTTGGACTGTGGGATAACTATAACATAGTATCTTAGAAAATAGTCTTACAAACATAGGAAACCATCTTTAATTACATAGTCCATGCAAATAAGCTAAAACTGAATTAGAAAAGACAAGAAATTGTGGGCTCAGATTACCATTAAACTGATTTATGTGTAGATATTTTGCATTCATGTAAATAAACATTTTGTTATGCTGGCCTGTGGTATTGAATTGGAATTTAATATGGTTCTCCTTGGTGCTTTAATTTCAAAGGATTGCATTCTAAATCTAAATAGAATTGCTGACTTCCTTTACATTTGATTTTAAACAGAACAACTTATTCAATAGAGAAATCTTATATTTTAGTTTCCAAGTGATGAGAAAAAAAATAAACCAGCAGCTCATTATTTTTAAAATTCTGGCTCTAAAAGCTTATTTTAAAAATGATACTTTTCTTTTAAATGAGGGAAACAAGTGTACCTTCTTGACGGTTTTTGTAAGTGAGCCTTTGTCTGCAATAAACAAGAAACAAATTCAGTAGACTGTCATATTTCCATATTAATCAGCCACTCCTACTTCTATCCTTTCTTTCAACCCTAAAACTAATTTTTCATGAAATATATAAGTCCGATCCTAAATGGTGGAAGTATAATTATAAATGTGTAAGAATACATTTCACATTGAGAGAAATACACTTGAAAAAGTAAAATGGGGCAAGGAGAACCCAGTGATTAAGATTCATTGCAGAGGAATGAGAAATCCAAGCTGTGAACGAAGCTGGAGAGTGTGCTCTGGTTTTTAAAATAGCTGATTTTCCTCCAAGCTTCTATTAAACTATGAACAATAAGACTAGTTTTGCACTGAGGCAGTTGATCCCCCTGTAGTTATTTTTCAGGACTACCTTTCTAATTCCCTTTGCCAGGATAACAGATTTCTGAAATGAACATCACAGCACCTGGCTCACGTCTCTTTTGGTTTGAGGATTTATTTCTCCTTTTCAAGGCTCATTCTGAGTTCACAAAGGACCACTACTGCTTTCTGGCAGGTCTGTACAAGCCTTGCAAAGCCAGTCTTTCATACAGCACAGGTACCTTTAAAATAGGAACAAAGGGGAAGTGAATATTCATAGATATACATGGGGGGTCCTTTTAGATGGCAAACAGTATCAGTAATGTGATTATTGAGATAACAAAATATTTGTGCTATAATACTTAAGGGTCATTTATAAACTTGTAGCATAATCTTATTAATAATGTTATCTTTAGATGATAAAGTACGCATCTATTAAATGTTTAGAGAAGCATTCCAAAAAGGAAGTCATAAATGTAGTGAGCTACTTTGAACATTTATCATTGATAAAATGTTCTTTACCTGGCAGATGAGATATGACCCATGTCTCCTTCTCTATATCGGTGGCCATGATAGTTAGCTACTGCTCCATATGAGAAGACAAACTATGTGCCATGCAATACTAGATAAAAATAGAAATTTCAGAAATTTATTATAGGCCAACCACTTCTGAGAGCCAGATAATCTCATTTCAGAACTGAGGTCCCAACTGTCAGATGAAAGAAACCAATTGGATCAAAACTTATTACTCTCCAATAACACTATTTGGTGTAATACCTAACTGATCCTGGGAGAGAAGCTATTGATAAATTAGGTTATGATTATATTATTACCACAGTTCTATCTACAAATAGGTTTATCACATTAACTGGAACATGGGAGTACAGTTTGTAAAATTTCAGTCAAAATAGCATATTTGTAGTTATTTTTTCAACATCACCAAATTGATTTTTTAATTTGAACAAAAAGAAAAGTTTACATTAGGTTCTTAACATTTGTTTTTACAGATCATTTGGTAATTTGGGGGACTAACACATTTATTTCTGTGTAATTAAAAGTAATACAGGCACATTTCCTTGCTTTTTATGAACATTTTTTTTTTCTGGAAGAAGGAGAACTAAAACATAACATGTTTAGCAGTAATACTGTTCAGCCTATGATGAGCTGCCCAAGTCAATGGTATAGGTTTATGAATGGGATAGTCAACTCTTAGTAGCTGGGGAAGAATTCATTGTTGGTGGAAGCAAGACATAGCAAGAGGAAAGAAAAGGTTGCAAGCTATATCAGTAATTTCAGTAGATTTACAAATTTCAAATGAGGTTAAGTAATATCAACCGTTACGCTTTTGCTTGTGACAAACACAATTCAAAAAGTTTAAGAAAAAAGGGGGCTGGCTTACCAGTATAGGTAAAGGGTAAGTTCAGAGTGCTTGGTTCAATCAGAATTGTATCCGAGGGCTCAATGGAAACATTCTGAGTTCAGTTTCCCCACACTGTCTCACCTCTTCTCTTCAGACTTCTGTTATCAGGCACCCCAGGCACATTGGTCTCATTTCCAGGCAAAGATGTTCACATGTAGCTCTCATTGTTCACAGTAGCCAGTGATTCCAGAGAAAGCAAAGTGCCTCTCCTTCTCCAGTATGCTAAGAATCTAAGGAGAGCTGCAATTGTCCTGGTCTTGACCAGGTTGTCATCTCTGCAGCAGTGGCTGTAGTCAGAGTCCCCTGGGATGGGACAGCCTGGTTTCTCTGCTCGTCTTCTATGATGGAGGAATGGAGAAGCGGGGGTGACAACCTAGCTGCATAGACTTTTCCCTCCCTCCCTCCCTCCCTCCTTCCCTCCCTTCCTTCCTCCCTCCCTTCCTGTTGTATGTGTACAGAATTGAGAAGCAAAAGGAAGAGAAAACATTTTTTAGACATTTCATCCTTGTGTGTACTGTGACAGGCTTTCCCATATCCCCTACATTCTTCTTTTACTACTTATAGGTTCTTATAAGTAAATAAGGAGACGCATAACCTAAAATAGGAGGCAGAGAAGACCAACAAACACCAATCCCAAATGGTAGCTTTTGTTGGCAGCAAAGCCAAGAGAGGAGCAGTTTTCTTGTCTCATGGTTTCATGGTTGTTTTTTCTAACTGTGTCCTTGTACCTGAAACACCAAGCTGGCATTCTCCTATGAACACAGATACTGGCCTTCTAGAAGGCAAAAGTTCTTTGTTCCGCTATTACCTACCCAATGTTAGTACAGATTGGTGCATTTGATTAGAAAACCGAGTAAACAAGATCCTAAAGTATTATGCTTTGTGGGGACAAATGGGAAGAAGGTGCCCTAAGTGCTTGAAGGGTCAGGAAGGAAAACCATAGACATGGATGTATTACTTTAGGTCATAGCCTGCAGCTGTGACAGAAAGCAAATAATGAAGGAAAGGAAGGGGCAGATCATAACTTTGTCTCTGTTCTGTTAGTCAGTGTGTGTGTGTGTGTGTGTGTGTGTGTGTGTGTGTGTGTGTGTGTGTGTGTGTGTGTGTGTGTGCGTGTGAGAGACAGAGAGACAGAGAGAGAGAGAGAGAGAGAGAGAGAGAGAGAGAGAGAGATTCTATATTAGATGTCCATATGACTTTTTCCAAAGATCTTTAGTGTTATTTATTCCTCAACATATATTCTCCTTTACCTTTGCCTACCCTCCCTCATCTGAACTTAACCCTTTTCATTCCAGTATTCCTTCAATTTTCACTTATTTCAGAATTTCCAGAGGCTGTGGTTTATACTGAGGGCTCTGCATTGGCAGAGGTCAGCATGGATGTATAATCTTGGGAGAGTTTGCCCATGTTTATCACCTCTAAAATAGGGAGAAGTAGCAACTATTTTCTTGTGTCATAATGAAGGTCAAATTGATTAATAGATGAAGCAATTTCCCATAATGTTCACTATGGTGATATTTTATTTGTACTGAAATGTGATTTTATTTGTATGTTAATAAATAAAGTTGCCTGGGGGTCAGAGCTAATAGCAAGCCATAGCAGAGCTGGACGTTCGTGGCACACACCTTTAATCCCAGCACTTGGTAGGCAGAGTTAGGTAGATCGCTGTGTGGTCAAGGATACAGCCAGCATTGGAGACACATGCCTTTTTTTTTTTTTTTTTTTTGGGTTTTTCGAGACAGGGTTTCTCTGTGTAGCTTTGCGCCTTTCCTGGAACTCGCTTTGGAGACCAGGCTGGCCTCGAACTCACAGAGATCCGCCTGGCTCTGCCTCCCAAGTGCTGGGATTAAAGGCGTGCGCCACCACTGCCCAGCTGGAGACACATGCCTTTAATCTCAATACCAACCATAGAAGACCTGGAGGTCTGTACAAACAGGCAGTGATGAGGCGGTCATGTGGTTGGATTTACAACCAATGAGAAGGCAGAACAGAAAGTCTATATAAAGATAAACACTCAGGAAGTAGGTCTCTCTTGGCTGAAGAGGCTAGCTGCAGCAGGCAGGTAAGGCTCTTAGCTCTGATCTCTTGGCTGTCTTCTTTGCATTGGTTCTGTGTTTCTTATTTAATAAGACGGTTGGTTACATCTACAGTTAGCACCTAGTGATTTGTAAGTGACGACTGTCACCAGTGCATATACACACCTGCACTGGTTCCATACAGATGTGTGATAGGTTGTCCTAAACAACATCTTATAGTTTCTATGACTCTGACATCTGAGCATGGTTTAGCTCGGGTTTCTCTGCTTCAGGTTTGCTCACAAAGCCTCATTTAGCATGTAAGGTGATGCTAAATGTCCTCTGGAGGCTCAGCTGGGGAGTAGTCCATTTTCAACCTCACGTATCTGGAAGCAGCATTCCATTCCCTTTAGAGGACTGAACTAAAGGCCCCAATACCTACCACACATTGCCAGATGTTGCCCCCAGTTCTTTACTGTGTGAACTTTTTTTTTGTGGATGTTTGCTTCACCAGAGCATGCAAGCCAAGAAGGCAGTAGGGCACCCTAGCAATTAAAGCCTTACAGGACACAATCATGGGAGTGAAGCTGTGTCATGGATTCTTGAGTTTAAATAGTTTACCCAGAATCATGCAGTATATGGTGGGTACCAAACTTACTCATACTGTTTGAGCCTAAAGTACCTCTAAAAGATCTGTGCACTCTACTATCTTTGAACAAAGAAAGCTTATTTCCCAAGGCTTAACTGCATAGGACTGTGAAAATTAGTAGTGAGGTCTGGTCTGTTTTGCAGAGTTCATTAGTGGTTGCTGTGACAGAGCAGATTCATGGCTGATTTTATTTTATGCATTATTAATTTTGAAAATGTTAATCTCAAATTGCTACAGTATTTCAATTAATTTGGACGATTAAAACTTAGCACCAGAAGAATCCTTTGCAAAAGATAAGGCGGCTAATTAGAGGCTCTGAAACAAACAACTGGTAGACCCTGGCTCAGAAACAAGTTGGGTTGATGACTCTGGCAGAGCTCACTCCTCTGAACAGTTTTGAAGTAGAAAGGATGATTTCTGGCAGGCTACATATTAAAGTTGAGTTTTTAAAAAACATTTTAAGGCATTAACTGCTTTACATATAATTTAAGATATGATGCAGTTCTGAAAACTGCTTTATGTTTATTTTGCTGTATTATCTTTTGAGTAACAATAGCAGGAATAGAAATGTAACAATTATTCATTGTTCAGTTATGAGTTAAGGGGGTGAGGTAGAATTGAAAATAATTTGACTTTCTTTAATTTTGCATTCAGACATTTATTGTAAAAATTTCAGAAAACATAAAGGAAAATTTCCCTAAAGCTCCCTGAAGAAATATGTTGGATCCACTCATTCAAGTGACCCCCCTCTACAGTTTCTCCTCATGCTTCTTTTCTTTCCATAGAGTAACATGTTTGCAAAATGTCTTAGTGTTTTTATTGCTGTGAAGACCACTATGACCATGGCAACATTTAATTGGTGTGGCTCACTTACAGTCTCAGAGGTTCACTCCGTTATCATCATGACCAGGAACATAACAGCATGCAGGCAGATGTGGTGCTGGAGCTGAGAGTGCTACATCTTGCAGGCAACAGGAAGTCGACTGACTGCCATACTGTAGGAAGCTTGAGGAAAAGAGATCTCAAAGCTCACTCCCACAGTGACACACTTCCTCCAACAAGGCCACACCTCCTAATAGTGCCACGCCTTTTGGGGGCCATTTTCTTTCAAACCACCATACAAAATGTCTTTACTTTTTAAGGCTTAGTATTCTGCTTTCAACGCTTTGTTTCCTGAACATATTTGTTTAACCATTTGTCAAGTATGCAGGCTTGGGGTTGAGTTTAAAGAGTGAATAAAGTGTGTTCTTGCTCCCAGAGAACTGTCAAGGGAGCAAAGGTAGTATTGAAGTTTGGGAATGCAAGAGACTATGAGGGGTGCATGGTGATCAGGGAATGAGATGTAAACTGAGATGCACAACACACGGAGAAGGTTGATGAAAAAAAGTGGATTTATGATAAATGTGGATGTAGGGAACAGCTTTGTTCAAGGCCAGGAGATGTTACAGATACAGAATGGTAGAGGGAAAGTTGTGTATAAGAAACAGGGTAAGGCATTTGTTATTCTACACCAGGAAATTAAGAGTAGAGTATACCCTGAGGAGCCTGTTGAGCCTTGGAAGAGTTGTAACTAGAAAAGTAACATGGTCAGCTAGGTTGCAAAGACCATCCTAGCCAGAATTTGAGGCGAATCTTGAATTATTAAAAGCTCTTCAAAAATATGGAGTGATTTTATCCTGATATATTGTCAAATTTCACTCTCTCTAGTTTTTATTATTATAAAAATGAAAGGACCTGAGCAGATGTGGCCATATGGTTGATTGCTACTAAACAACAGAGTCATGAAGGTAGAGTTTCTGGGTCAGTGCAGACAAATGCTCAGATAGCAGTGACTGTGTGAATATGTATGTGTGCACCAAAACTTCCTTTAATTTTAATTGCATTACATCTCCATTGTTATTAGCATAAGAAGATATGTCATATGCTTTTGATTATTAACACTGTACTTGTTTTTGCTATAAGTCATTTGATAGGAATATAGTAGTGTGTTGAAACTTATCTCCTAGGACAGATGTTTCTCTACTTTATGATGGTACTCTGTGATGGTAAATCTATTGTAAGTTCAAAATAGCATGAAGCCAAAATGCACTTAATGTACCAGGCATCATATTTCTAACTCACTGTACTGTCTCGTGTGTGTGTGTGTGTGTGTGTGTGTGTGTGTGTGTGTGTGTGTGTATGAGAGAGAGAGAGAGACAGAGACAGAGAGACAGAGAGAGATATCTGACTGTCTATGTTATGCTGGGACCAAACTCAGGGCTTTACACATAGCGGGCAAGTACCCTACTAGGAGTACCAGTAGTTTATCCTCACGATCGTAACCAACTGGAACTGTGACTGGCTGTTGTCACCCCGCAAATGAAGAGAATGTTGTATTGTATTTGACTAGACTGGGAAAATATATAAATTCCAAGTGTGGTTTCTATTGAATGTACATTAACTTAGTACTACCAGAAAGTCAAAAATCTGGGCCACCTTAGGTTGAGGACCACCTATCATGTGCCAGTAAATTCACATATGAACTTCATTTTAGGTAAGATATTTGCTTTTAATTTTTACCGGCTACTTATATACTCAATTATGAATTACCTGTTTGTTCCTTACCTATTTTTATTTCCAAAATTTACTGATTTTCCAAAGATTTTTAAGAAAGATACATAAATAAAAAACAG